AAGGCCAGGAGGATAGGGTGCTATAAAGAATGTCCCCGGAGGGTACGACGATGTGAAAAAGAGCCGCCCTTTTTTCGTCTCTCTCTTTCCCCTTCCCCACGTGAAGTTCCTTCACGGTAATATTCACCTTCTTCGTCCTCTACAAATGTAACCAACCCTTTCAGAATCCGCTGTAAACTAATAAAATCGCGTATAGAATTATAGCTGTAACTTTATGTTTCACGGAATACAAGAGTTTATGAGAATGTTTGTTTGAGAGAAAACACGCTCTTTCATTTTGTCCGTCTGTATAGTTTGCTATGTAAAGATGAAACGCTGTGAGACGCGTGGGTGGTCTCATTTTCCAGCCGTACACTTTAATTGAACAAACAGAATGTCTGTTATCAGCAAGATAAAATTGAGCATCTGATTGAGTCTTCTTTTGTTGTTGGATATAATATAATAATTCCCGTATTATATCGTTTGTGTGCTGTGAAGTGTACTTTTAGACCCGTTTTCAACAATTCGCGATTCATATTTGCCTTTTCCCGAGCAATTTATGTGTCCTGGTTTCTCTTAGTTATAACCTCTCTTAAGCTAGCAGGACCAAATCAGCAGAATCACATCGGACCTAGTGGAATATTTAGTACTTATTTTGTACTCATTTGTACCACAAATAAAAATTTTGTACCTCCTGCCGTTTTCAAAAAAATCGTGGCGCTGCTAGCTTAATATTAAGCTGGCAGGACCAAAAGTTAAAATTAATGAAAATGAATAAATCAAAGTTGATACTTTAGTGCTGAATTTGTACTAATTTGTACCATCAAAAGAAATTTTGTACCTCTCACCATTGTCATGGAAATCGGAGCGATGCGAGTTTAACGTTAAGCTGGCAGGACCAATAGTTAAAATTGATAAAAATGAGTAAATCAAAGTTGATACTTTAGTGCTGAATTTGTACTAATTTGTACCATCAAAAGAAATTTTGTACCTCTCACCATTGTCATGGAAATCGGAGCGATGCGAGTTTAACGTTAAGCTGGCAGGACCAATAGTTAAAATTGATAAAAATGAGTAAATCAAAGTTGATACTTTAGTGCTGAATTTGTACTAATTTGTA